CAACCAGACACTGTAGTAGTAGACAAATTAATAGACAAAGACCAGAAGAGCTCAGGAGGCCAGGCAAGCGGGGCGAGACAAGGCGCCTCTCGATGTGAGTGATGTATAATTGGTCACGCCCACCCAGTCACGCCCACCCAGTCACATGACCACCCAGCCACGCCCACAAACCAGTAGTAAAAAAATTTGAATCCCACCATTGGACTTGAGCCTAAAACATATGAAGAACAATTGCTGGAATTGGGTATGTCTAGGTTAATTAAGGACTAGGGGTGACATGATAGCAGTTGTTCCGATGTCTGAGGGGTTGCCACAAAGAAGTGGAATTCAAGCTATTCTCCAAAGCAATTTGTGGGCAGGACAAGAAGCAATGGGTGGAAACTAATCAAGGAGAGACGCAACCTAGAACAAAGGAGAAATTTCCTGATAGTGAGGACAATTAACCAGTGGTTAACCTGCCTCCGGAAGTTGTGGGTGCTCCATCACTGGAAGTTTTTAAGAAGAGATTGGACAACCATTTGTCTGAAATGGTTTCCTGCCTGAGCAGGGGGTTGGACTAGAAGGCCTCCAAAGTCCCTTCCAATTCTGTTTTGTTCACTTCTGTTCTAATGATTTCTTTCCCAATATTATGACCTTATGAAGAGTGATTAATAGTGATGTGGATTTTCCTAAAAAAGAAAAAAAAAAACAAAGTCATTGGAGGAAATGTGACATTTCTTGCCATTCTTCCATTGTTTTTCTGATATTAGGGGCTAATATTGCAGTTTAGTTTGATTATACTGGATTGTATATTATGAATGGTTGTTAGCTGCTCGAAATATATTGGGTTAAAAAGCAGATAATAAAAGGGAAGCAATAGTTCACAGTGTACAGGTAGTCCTCGAATTACAATGATAATGGAACCTGCCTCTTATGGTCATAATTTGTGATGGTTATAAAATGGGTCATCCATGTGACCAACCTGATTTTATGACCATTTTTTCATGGCAATCAATAAAACAATTGCCAAAATCTAGAAGGAAAAGGTTGGTTTTCAGCAAAAAATATAAAGAATGGTCAAGTGATCACGGAATGCTGAAAACAACTATAAATATGCGCCGGTTGCTGAATGGTTGAAGTGGGGTCACATGATCATGGGGGGGGCACTTAACAACTATAGCCATTCACTTAAATGTTACTCATTTAACAACTACAGCCATTCACTTAACAAATGTGGTGAGAAAAGTCACAGTAAAATGGGATTTTACAGATTTCTCATGTAGCAACATAAATTTGGGGCTCAATTGTGGTCGTAAGTTGAGGACCACCTGTAAAGATAGATCTTGACTTCTGACCCATAATTGGGACCAAATTTCCGTTGTTCAGTGAGTTACACCCAATTTTATGACCTTTTTGCCCTGGTTTTTAAATGAATCCCATGGTCGTTAAATGACTCCAGCTTCCCACATGGGCTTCGTTTGTCAGAAGCCACCTGGAAAGGTCACAGATGTCGATCTCGTGACCCCAGGGCGCTGCAACCATTTTAAGTATGTGGCATTTATCAAGTGACTGAATTTTGATCATCTGTGGGGATGCTGCAATGGCCGTAAGTGCGGGAACAATTTCAGTTTTTTTCCGACACCATCGCAACTTCGGACAGTCATTAAACGAACGGTTGTAAGTTGAGTTATACTACCTGTAGAACAGGACTGTGGCGATGATCGCTCAGTTCAATCCGCTTCCAGGGATGTAAGGATAGCATTTTTTTTGTTTGTTTGTTTACCTTCTTTATTCTTGGTTTTTTTATCTTTGCGATAAGGGGAAAAAGAAAATATTAGGCTGGCTCAGCAGAGGAAGAGACATAACACAGATCTCTCAGTTGATGGCTTAACAAAATGCCCTTATTCTGAAGAACTCCAGAATGCAAATTATTGGGATTTCCCACGTTAGCCAAGACCTTTGGATTGTTCTCCAAGGCCTGATTTTCTCTCTGGTTTTCTAAGGCAGGGGTGTCAAACTCGATTTTATTGAGGGCCGCATCAGGTTGGGTTTGTCATCAAGGGGGGGGGGCACGTGGCTAGCTCGACGTCACTCATGTTCGCGTCTGGTGGCCCGAGGCTCTGACAGCAAAAACGGGCTCCCGAGCTCCATTTTTGGCTGTGACGGCTTCCTGCAACCCTCTTCCAACTGTGTGCAGCCCTCCCGAGCTCTGTTTTTGCTGGGAGAGGCACCGTGGGCCGATCCTTCACTGTTTCCAGAGTGGCCCCACGGGCCAGTTCTAAGCACCCCGCAGGCCATATCCGGTCCACGGGCCTTGAGTTTGACACTCCTGTTCTAAATGGTTTTGGAGTAGAGGCTTGCAGGATTCAAGACTTGATCCCTCAGACTGGTAAAGATTCAGGAATCCGTTCTGTAAACAATCAGCTGCAAGCTTTTTTTGTTTATCGGAAAACATCTGTCTTTCCACTGCACCACAGGAAGGCTGATCTAAAGTTTCAAAAACTGTCCAGCCTAATAGGGAATTTCCACATGGAAAAATATTTGTTCCAGCTGGGAAATAGTTCTGATGCTGGGATTCTTGTACAGGGAGTCCTCGACTTATGACCACAATTGAGGCCCAAAATTTCTGGTGTTAAATTGAGATATTTGTTAAAGTGAGTTTTGCCCCATTTGACGACCTTTCTGGACACCGTTGTTAAGTGAAGCGCCTCAGTTGTTAAATTACTAATGAAGTTGTTAAGTGAATCTAGCTTCTCCATTGACTTTGTTTGTCGGAAGGTTGCAAAAGGTGATCACACGACCATGGGGTATTGCAACCGTCATAAATATGAACCAATTCCCAAACATCTGAATTTTTATCCCTTGGCCATGGGGATGCTGCAATGGTCCTATGTGTGAAAAAATGATCATTAGTCATTTTTTTTCCTGTGCCGTTGTAACTTTGAATGGTTACTAAACGAACTGTTGTAAATCAAGGACTACCTATAATCCCACCCTGTTCATCTCGATGAATTTATCTAAAAGAATTCTGTAAAGAAAAAAACATTTCAAGAATATTCCAGTTCAGACAATTGCCAGTGGGCCTGGGAGAAGAACCTATTACTTGTCATTCTGGGCATAGACAAGTCAGTGGTCCTATCACAGAGGTCCTCTGTGGGGCGGAAGGTTCTAGAGCAGAAATTGTGCTTATGATCTGCATGGGATAGCAGTGGGCCTCTTGGCATGGATTTAGTTTCACGCATTGAAAAAGTCAATAATGGCAGAGAAACATCAGATCAAAGGCGGTTTGATGTCTACCAAATGTTTTTAACTTTGGGGCCTTGACAACCGTCTGAGGGATTGTACTGTTACCGTGCTTTCTTTAAAAAAAAATGCCTTTGAGCAAGATTGCTAGATTAATTCCTGGAAAAGTTGCAGCCATTGAATTGATAAGTGACTGGTTCCTTGCTGTCTAACCTCATAAATGGAGTCTAACCTTGCATAGATTTAAGTTACTGGAGAATAAATTTTGGTTGAATGTCAAAGTAGGTCAACGGTGAAGGTAGTTCCCTAGAGAATTGTGTTTCTCAACTTTAATAACTTTAGGATGTGTAGACTTCGACTTCCAGAATTCCTCAGCCAGCATGCTGACTGAGGAATTCTGGGAACTGAAGTCCATAGAACTTAAAAGTTGCTAAAGTTGAACAAAACTGCCCTGAAGCAAGGGGTTGTAACCAGATGCTACAAGGCCATAAGTGGCTTCTGAAAGTGAATCTCTATGGAGATTCTCAGTCATCCATGTCATGGATGTGCCAAGGGTGCTTTCTTTCAAAAGGTAATTGGACTTTCTTGTTTTGCTTGAAGACGTTTCGCTTTTCATCCAAGAAGCTTCTTCAGTTCTGACGAAATGGTGGAGAATGAAAAGATTTATATTCCTTGCAGTCATCTGGTCATTAGTACTCTTTCTGAGAGTCGTCTCCAAGGCCACTTGGAGGTTTATCTGTGCCCTCAGGGTCACCTGAATCATGTAGTCTTGCATTTTTCCTGGAAATCTGTTCATACTCCTGCACCATTCGATCAGACGATTGCAAGGAATATAAATCCTTCCATTCTCCACCATTCAGTTAGAACTGAAGAAGCTCCTTGGATAAGAAGTGAAATGTCTTTGAGCAAAACAAGAAAGTCCAGTCGCCTTTTGAAAGAAAGCACCTTCGGGACATTCAGTGAATCCCTCAGTGGTCTCCCAGAAGTTGTTACAAGTTGAGGACTAGTTCTATAGCTTTTCCAGTCAGGTGACCTCCAGGTATATTAAGACCTACAACTACCAATTGTCTCCAGCCAACGCAGCCTCCCGGGACCTCTGAAGAGCACAAGGTTAGGGGAATGAATCAACAAAATTGTTTGCAAGGCTATATTTACTCTTGTTGTGGCAGATTGTAGCTGATTCTGACAATGAGGAGGCTGGTGTGGTGCTGTGCCAGCAACCTGGGCAGCTGGCACTCGAGTCAGACAATAAGGAGGCTGGAGAAGATGCGGTGCCAGAGGCAGGGATTCAGCCAGGGCCTTCCAAACCTCCAGAAGCTCCTTTAAGTGAAGAGGACGAAGAGGAGAAGCCTCTTCTAGATGCACGGGCGCGCAGAGCTGCCAAAAGCAGGAGTGGCTCCTCAGGAAGAGGTTTCCTTGAGAGTAAGGCTTGGGGCTAATTGGCCACTCCCTTAGCCTATTTAAGGAGGAACGCCGACGGAAGCAATTTGTAGGGAACAACTTTTAGTTCACTCTCCTTTGCATCTGGATTTTCTGCAAATTGCTTCTGTGCTTTCTGCCAACCATAGTAAGATTGTGATAACTTTATCTTTGGTTTGTTTTAGGCTGTTAGGAAAGTTTATTAACAGCCTTTGTTTGAAAAAGACTGAGTTATTTTAGTAAATTAAGTTTTGTACAGACTTTGTGTGTGCTACGTTCTTTGGGGTCCTTAGAACAATTCTTGGTTTCTAGGAAAGTGTCAGAAGTAAACTCAGCTTCTTCCTGTTTCCTTTCTTCAGAGAAAATGGAGATCTCGCTGGGCCAGTGGCTCCTCATCCTCTTCCTGGTGGCCATCCCGCTTCTGTATGAATGGAGTGCTACCTTCAAGTATTTCTGTAAGATGGCGTTCTACAACAGCTACATCCTCTTCCTGGCTGCCTTTGCCATTCCGATCTGTGCTGTCCGTGGGCGTGACGTGGAGAATATGAAGTGAGTCTGTTTTAGGTGTGTGCTAGTGGGTGCACCCCTCTTGGACTAGGACAGGGGTTGGCAACCTTAAACACTCAAAGAGCCACAAAGGTCCTAACTGGAAGCCCCTGTTCAATTCTGGAGCCGACCGGAAGTCTGGTTCCCCCATCATAGTGTCCTCATAGCACAGCATCCTTTTTCCTCTGCTGACTGGAAGTCGGTTCCCCCACCAAAGAGTCTCCTCCTAGTGCAGCATCCTTTTTCCTCTACATGTCCTAACCGAAAGCCCTATCAATTGTGGAGCTGACCAGCAACAGGAGTCGCAGCAGAGGGAGGAAAGAGCCACATGCGGCTCCAGAGCCACAGGTTGCTGACCTCTGTGCTAGGAGAAAGCCTTCATCGGACTTAGGCCTATATCTGATCGCAGCTGGTTAGATAACAGGGTTGCCCTTACTGTGTATCCACCTTTCTGCTGTATTGGATTACAGCATCCACCTGCAGCTAATACAGCTGGTGTAAAATGGGAAATGTAGTTTAACTCCTCCCTCATCCTGTGGGAAAACCGGGGATTGTCCATAACTTTGAATATGTGTGGACTTCCAGAATTCCCTAGCCAGCATGGGAATTCCCCAGCATGGTTGGCTAGGGAATTCTGGGAGTTGAAATCCACACATCTTAAAGTTGTCAAGGTTTAAGAATCTTCGCTGTTTGCTTGCTGTTGACAGAGCAGGGCCAAAAAAAATTGGATTTGCCAGTTTAACTATCCCTACTCCTTTTGTCTCCTGCTGTCATGGATTGCAAGTTGCTGGTTTGGATGGGATCCTGACCAATACAGGATGCTCTGTGGAATCTAAATGGGGAGGAGGAGACTGTATATGTGGCCTTGCAGCCTGGTTATAGCAGGGAATCTGTTTTAAGAGGAGACGTCCAATGTCAACTTGAAGTGGAAAAAAGAGGAAAAGCACAGGCTTGAAGGGAGAGAGATTGTACTATGCCCTGTTTCAGAAAGACTGTTTTACGCATTGGAGCGTCTGGTCTAGATTTTTACATTGCTGGCTCATGATTTCTTGAATAAATCCCTGTTGGGATGAGTTGATGCCATTGCAAGCTGCAAAGCTTGTTTTACGAGCTATATTTGTAAACAGCATGGTGGTAAGCTACAAACCAACCGACCACATTATATCTTATTATTTTCTTTAAAACATTTCTGCCTCCATTGTGATCAAAATGACTCTTGGTGACTTAACTAGAATAAAAGTAGAACTACGGTATGTTGTATATCCGTGGTCATATATGTCTATGGAGATTCTCAGTTATCCAGGTCATGGTTGTCCCAAAGGTTGCGTTTTCAAAAGACAACTGGACTTTCTTAGTTTTCTTTGAAGACGTTTTGCTTCTCATCCAAGAGGCTTCTTCGGCTCTGACTGGATGGTGGGGAATGGAAGGATTTATCCTCCTTGGAGACAGCTGTTCGTTTGCGTTCTTTCAGCAAGTCGTTGAGGCCACCTGGAGGTTCATCTGTGTCCTCAGGATCACCTGAATGATGCAAATGGGTGTGGAGCCTTCTTGGAACTGTTGAAAGGACTGTATTGTAGACTGGAGATAGATGATGTTGTATCCTTCCTCCTCTGTTGAGAGAGGGCTGTTCAGTTTTGACATGGATGGCTTCTCTCAACAGAGGGGGACGCTTTTTCAAACAGCAACTGGATTTTGTTGGGTTTTTTTCCTTGAAAAGAAAGAAACTTGAACTGAAAAAGCTTCTTGGATGAAAAGTGAAACGTCTTCAAGGGGAAGGAAAAAAAAAGTCCAGTTGCCTTTTGAAACAGCACCCTTGGAAAAAGAAATAGAAATACCAAAAGTGAAATAGCAAAACCCCCCTCGCCCATTACAAAAATTAAGCAATAAAAACAGGGGGGGAAAGAAGATCACATCTAAATTCAGCTACAAGCCCTTTGAAACAATTGTGTCTTCCAGTCAAACCTGTTCCCAAGCCAGCCTTTCCTGGGCTAATATTTCCGTGGAGCTTGGTGGGAACATCTGGGAGCAACAATTGTGTCTTTCAGGGTGCATGATTTTCCTCTTTACTTTTGGAAAAATGTTGAGGCTTGCTTTCGGCAGGGTGTTCTAGCTCAGGGGTCTCCAAACTTGGCAGCTTTACGACCTGTGGACTTCAACTTCCAGAATTCCCTAGACACCTTCCCCAAGTCTTAAAGCTGCCAAGTCTGGAGATCCCTCTTCTAACACAATTCATACCAGCCCTCCACATATGGTGAAGTTGCTGTTCTCCAAACGTTGGTGGTGAAAGGCAGCCTCTGGGCATTTGGAGGGACCACCATGTTTCCAAAAGCTGATGTATTAGTAGACATTCACACTGATATCCTTTCTCTCTTCCTTGCCCTTCCAGGATATTACGATTCATGTTGCTCCACATAAAGTATCTCTATGGGATCAAGATTGAGGTGCGGGGGACCGAGAACTTCAACCTCAAGGAGCCCTACGTGGTGGTGTCCAACCACCAGAGCTCCCTTGACTTGCTTGGTATGACCAGAGGAAGGTGGGGAGGTTGGGAAGGAGCTAAGAGTTTGATCTGGGTTCTACCAGTTCATTTGTTGTTGTTAGTGTTTGTTTGTTTTAAAAAAAAAAAGAAATGTTGTGGTGTAGTTTGCAAGTGGAAGTTGCCCAGAGTCAGCAAATAAATTGGATGGATGGATGAATCGGGGGAGAGAGAGAGAGAGAGAGAGAGAGAGAGAGAGAGAGAGAGAGAGAGATGATACATGACAGATAGATGATAGAGAGAGCGAGAGAACGATAAGAGATAAACGATAGACAGACAGACAGACAAAGATAGGTAGATGATAGATGATATAGATGATAGATAGATAGATAGATAGATAGATAGATAGATAGATGGATGGATGGATGGATGGATGGATGGATGGATGGATGGATGGATAGATAGATAGATAGATAGATAGAAGATAGATACATACATACATAGATAGATATAGATAGATATAGAGAATGATAGACAATGATAGATGATAGATAGATAGATAGATAGAAAGATAGATAGATAGATAGATAGATAGATAGATAGATAGATATAGAAAATGATAGACACAATGATAGATGATAGAGATAGATAGATAGATATAGAGAATGATAGACAGACAATGATAGATGATAGATAGATAGATAGATAGATAGAGAGAGAGAGAGAGAGAGAGAGAGAGAGAGAATGATAGACAGACAATGATAGATAGATAGATAGATAGATAGATAGATAGATAGATAGATAGATAGATAATGATAGACAGATAGACAGACCCCTTTATGAACATGCTGGCTCAGGAATTCTGGGAGTTGAAGTCCACAGGTCGTAAAGGGGCCATATTTGCCTACCCCAGTCTATGGCTTCTAGCACAGCATAGCTAATCCTTTTTTTTTTTTACTCTCTGCACAGGTTTAATGGAGGTGTTGCCAGATCGGTGTGTGCCAATTGCCAAGAAGGAGCTGATGTATATGGGCACAGCGGGGTTGGCCTGCTGGCTGGGAGGCATCATTTTTATCAACCGCAAGAAAACCAACGATGCCATCAGCGTTATGTCTGAGGCTGCCCAAACTATGCTGAGCCAAGATGTGAGGGTCATTGTTGTTATTTTTTTGAAAGGGGGTTGCGGAACTTTTGATGAAATTTGGAGGAGGGAGACGGGCGGGACGGAGTTGCTTCTGAGCTAGGGCGATGCCATAAGCAGATGACAGTGAACATGGGGAATCGGGATTGCGAGATTGAGGAATGGGGAATGAGGGATTGGAAAAAGTAACAAAGAAGAGCAACTAAGATGATTAAAGGCCTGGAGACTAAAACATTTGAAGAACAGTTGCAGGAACTGGGTATGGCCAGTCTAGAGAAAAGACAGGGGGGGACGGACGGACGGACGGACATGATAGCAATATTCCAGGTTTTGAGGGGCTGCCACAAAGAGGAGGGGGGGGCATTTCAATTTATTTTCCAAAGCAGCAGAGGGCAGGACAAGAAACAATGGATGGAAACTAATCAAGGAGAGAAGCAACCTGGAATTAAGGAGAAACTTCCTAGCGGTGAGGACAATTAACCAGTTGAACAGCTTTGCCTTCAGAAATTGTGGGTTCCCCATTACTGGGGGATTTTAAGAAGAGACTGGACAGCCACCTGTCTGAAATGGTATAGGGTCTCCTGCTTGAGCAGGGAGTTGGACTAGAAGACCTCCAAGGTCCCTTCAGCTCTATTCTGAATCTGAATTTGGGAGATGTTGCCAATTTCTTATAAGGGGTTGACAGGTTTTCCCCACTATTGGGAACGTGAATTACCCACTGTGTTTTGTGTACAGGTAATCTTCAACTTATAACCGTTGGTTTAGTGACTGTTCAAAGTTACAATAATACCGGAAAAAAGTGGCTGTTTATGGCCATTTTTCACACTTGTGACCATGGCAGTATTCCATGGTCACATGACAAAATGCAGACACTTGGCAGCTGGTTCCTATTTATCACGGTTACAGTGTCCCAGGGTCGTGCGATCACCTTTTGTGACCTTCTGATAAGCAAAGTCAATGAGGAAGCCAGGTTCATTTTACAACCGTGCTACCAACTTAATAACTGCAGGGATTCACTTACCGACCGTGGCAGCCATCAAGACCGTAAAATGGGGCAAACTGTCTCTTTAACTGTCTCACTTAGCAATGGAAATTTTGGACTCGATTGTGGTCGTAAATTGAGGAGCACCTGTAGTGAATATGTTGAAATGATGCCAAGAAGGTCCACCTTCTGACCCCTCCACCCCTCCCCCTCCACTGCCCTCAGTGGATTTTAGGCCAGTCCCTCCCTCTCAGCCCCACAGGCAAAGTGAGGCAGCAGTGAAGTGCTGGATTAGACTCAGACCAGCTTCTAGTCTCCCCTCAGTCACATAAACCCTTCTCTTTCCTGCCTACCCCACAGGGGTGTTGTCATATAGTTAAAAATGAAGTAAGATTGCCATGTAACCTGGCTTATGTTCTTGGGGGGAAAAGTCAGATATAGTTCCTCATGCTGGCTGAGGAATTCTGGGAGTTGAAGTCCACACGTCTTAAAAGTGGCCAAGGTTGAAAAACACTGGATTTCATCTCTCTGAACTGTTTTGCCCCGCACTCAGTTTTAGGCTGAATACCGATAGTCCTCAATTTACAACAGTTCCATTTAGTGAGTGTTTGAAGTTACAACGGCCCTGAAAAAAGTGACTTATGACCATTTTTTTCACATTTATGACCGTTGGAAAATCCCCCTGCTCATGTGATCGAAATTCGAATGCTTGGCAACTGACTCATATTTATGACAGCTGCAGTTCTCCAGGGTTATGTCATTCCCCTTTTGCGACTTTCTGACAGGCAAAATCAATGTGGGAAGCCAGATTCATTTAACAACCGCATTACTAACTGAACAGCTGCAGTGATTCTCTTAACCACCGGGGCAAGAAAGGTGGTAGGATGGGGCAAAACTCACTTGCTTAGCAATAGGAATTTTGGACTCAATTGTGGTCGTAAGTTGAGGACTGCTTGTATTTGGCTGGAAACTCCAAGGCTGAATCTACAAACGTCTCAATTTCTGCCATAGGTCATTGCCATGAGGCAGCAACTTCTGATGGAAGGTTTCGTTCACAGGATGGGCTATTTTGGGAAACCGAGTTGTATTTCTGTCCTGCCTGTTTACTTGTGGCCAAATTTTCGTTGCATAATTCATAGAAGCAAAATTGGACAGGACCTCAGACGTCACCCAAGCCAGTCCCATTCCGGGATCTGCTGAAATGTTTCAGACAATTGCTATCCAAACCAGCGAAGGAGGCCTACTACCCCATCACGAGTGACCGATTCTGTTGCTTGACAATTCCAGCTCTCTTGGAAATTCCTCCCAAAAGTTAAACAGAAGGTGTTCCTCAGGATCTTCAACCCTTTGTCCGTTCGGTCCTCCATTTGACACCTTCAAATAACTGAAGTCTGCTACAGTGTCTCCCTTCAGTCTTCTCTTCTGTGGAGCAACATGCAGGTAGTCCTTGACTTACGTCCACAATTGAGCCCTGGATTTCTGTTGCTAAGTGAGGCAGTCCTTAACTGAGTTTTGCCCCGTTCTATGACCTTGCTTGCCCTAATTGGTCAGTGAATCACTGCAGTTGTTAAGTTAGTGACATGGTTGTTACGTAAGTGAATCTGGCTTCCTCATTGGATGAGAGCCCGCAGGGCAACCATGGTACACCAGAACAAATTATAACACGTGTCATTCAGGAAGGTCTCCTCAGGAAATTTCAAGGCACCTGGGATGATCTCACCACAACCACACCAGAAGTATTTAGATGGGTATCTTCCTTAGGTATTGAATCATAAAGTCTTGTTGTTGCTAGTTGCGAAGCCATGTCTGACGCATCGTGGACAACGTTCCTCCAGGCCTTCCTGTCCTCTACCATCCCCCGGAGACCATTTAGGCAACACGCCAACTGCTTCAGTGACTCCATCCAGCCACCTCATTCTCTGTCGTCCCCTTCTTCTTTTGCCCTCAATCTTTCCCAGCATTAGGCTCTTCTCCGGTGAGTCCTTCCTTCTCATTAGGTGGCCAAAGTATTTGAGTTTCATCTTCAGGATCTGGCCTTCGAAAGAGCAGTCAGGGTTGATCTTCTCTAGGACTGACCGGTTTGATTGCCTTGCAGTCCAAGAGGCTCGCAGGAGTCTTCTCCAGCACCATAGTTCAAAGGCCTCAGTTCTTTGATGCTCAGCCTTCCTTATGGTTCAACTTTCACAACCTTACATTGCAACTGGGAAAACCGTAGCCTTGATTATACGCACTTTTGTTGGCAGGGTGATGTCTCTGCTTTTTAGCATGCTGTCTAACTTCGCCATAGCTTTCCTCTCCAGGAGCAAACGTCATTTAATTTCTTGGCTGCAGTCCCCATCTGCAGTGATCTTGGAGCCCAGGAAAATAAAATCTGTCCCTGCCTGCATTTCTTCCCCATCTGTTTGCCAGGAATTGAGAGGGCCGGGTGCCATGATCTTAGTTTTCTTAATGTTGAGTTTCAAGCCAACTTTTGCACTCTCCTCCTTTACCCGTATCAGAAGACTCTTTAGTTCCTCTTCACTTTTTGCCATTAGAGTGGTATCATCTGCATATCTGAGGTTGTTGATATTTCTCCCGGCAATCTTAATTCCAATTTGTGATTCATCCAGCCCCGCCTTTCTCATGATGTGCTCTGCATATAAGTTAAATAGGCAGGGAGATAGTATACAGCCTTGCTGGAGTCCTTTCCCAATTTTGAACCAATCCGTGGTTCCATGTCCAGTTCTCACTGTTGCTTCTTGACCCGCATATAGGTTTCTCAGGAGACAAATAAGATGGTCTGGTACTCCCATCTCTTTAAGAACTTGCCACAATTTGTTGTGATCCACACATAACGTCTATCCCATTGCAATTTGATGGCTCCACATAATGATTTGATTATGGTTCTTATCTTAATTTAATACTTTATCTCCATTATTGTATTGTTCCCATCTTTTATATATACACATACACACATATTTGCTGATGCTTTATTTAAACTAAATTTGTATATCGGAGATTGCATGACCCCTATAAATGCCATACACTAAATAAATAAATAAAAATTGACTTTGCTGATGAGAAGGTCACAAAAGGTGACCACAGGACCCTGGGACACTGCAACTGTCATAAATAGGTGTCAGTTGCCAAGCCTCTGAATTTTGATCACATGATCATGGAGATGCCACAATGGTCGTAAGTGTGAAAAACGGTCATAAGTCACTTTTTTCAGTGCCGTTGTAACTCTGAAGAGTTACTAAACAAATGGTTTGGATTCACTTTACAGCTGCATTGCTAAGTTAACAAGTGCAGTGAGTCCGTTAAATGTGGCAAGAAAGGTCGTAAAACGGAGCCCAAGAGTTATTTAACAACTGTCTCACTTAGCAATGTAAATTTTGGGCTCAATTGTGGTCGTACGTCGAGAACTACCTGTAGGAGTAATGGTCTGTGAGAATGACTTTGGGAGAAAAGGGGGGAAAAAGCTGCAGCCTAGTTCAGCAGCCCCCAGCCTTTTGGGCATCAGGGACGGTTCCATGGAAAACTTTTCCGTGGACCGGAGGGGGTGTGGTTTTGTGTGCTGCCTGCATCCCGTGGATGGGTCTCCGCCTGTTTGCACAGACCGGTTGCTGGCATGCCGCAAGCTGTTGATGGTCCATGGACTGGGGTTTGGGTATCCCTGGCCTAGTCGATGGTCTGATAAATGAAATCTGAGTGAGGATGGAGAAAGGTATCTCAGAAGGAGCCCTCTCTAGTTTTCGCAAAAGTAAAAGGAAGGAAGGGGAAAGAGCTTGCGATTGTGTTACTGTAACTTACAATAAGGGTAGTGTTCAGGGGTGGGCTGCTGGGGGTTCACAGGAGTTCGGGAGAACCTCTAGCTAAGATTCTGTGCAGTTCGGAGAACCCCCAAATCCCACTCCTGGCTGCCCCCCCCCACCCTGCCCCTCCCAGGAGTCCCCACACGGCCCATTTTGGATGCAGGTAAGTGCAGGGCATGTATGGAGGCTTGGGGAGAGTGAAAAACGGGCCTACTGGAAGTAGGCCCATTTCCAGCCTCCAGAGAGCCTGGGGAGGCTGTTTTTGTCCTCCCAGAAGCTCAAGAAAAGCCTCCGGAGCCTGGGGAGGACAAAAACGCCCCTCCCCCCCTGCTGTGGTGCAGGAGGCTGACTAGGCCATGCCCACCATGGCCACGCCAACCCAGCAACCGGGCAGAGAACCCCTTGCTAAAAATTTTGAAGCCCACCCCTGGTAGTGTTAGTAGTTATGGTTCGCGTTTCTTGTTCTGGAGTGCCTCGAGGGGCTGATGGGACCCTCTCTCAAAACATCCATTTCTCAATAGATCCTTTGCTTAACCTTATGTGCGTCTTCATGAAAGGGACTCAATTCTTCCTTTCCTCGGTCTTCCTTTGCAGGTTCGGGTCTGGGTGTTTCCTGAAGGTACCAGGAATCATAACGGCTCCATGCTGCCCTTCAAACGGGGCGCCTTCCATTTGGCGGTGCAAACCCAGGTAAGGGGTGCTCCGTTGTCTCACCTTCTCTTCCCCGACCTACCCCAAGAGATGGTTTGGCAGCTCTTTGCCAGATACACTTAGCTAGGCCAAAATAGGGGGGAGTTTGGAGGTTCAGAGTTATTTGAGCCCACAATATGAACCAGACTATTCACTAGAGCCTTTGGATTGTTGTATATTATGTCAACACAACCGTTGTATTTGATTGATTACATTGTATTTAGTTAACTGGGTTAAACCTGTTCTGTGGCCTCACCATTGCATTGATGATCAGGGTAAGCCAGACTTTGGCAAGCTCAGAATAAGAACTGAGGATTTAGGTAGCCGCAACTGTGTGTGTGTGTGTGTGTGTGTGTGTGTGTGTGTAACTTTGCAGCGAGCTGGAAATCTGTCCTCATTTAGTCCCAAAGGTGCTTTTTCAAGAGGCAACTGGACTTTTTGGATTTTCTTTTTGAAGACGTTTCGCTTCTCATCCAAGAAGCTTCTTCAGCTCAGAAATCAGACCTGAAGAAGCTTCTTGGATGAGAAGCGAAACGTCTTCAAAAAGAAAATCCAAAAAGTCCAGTTGCCTCTTTGAAAAAAGCACCTTTGGGACAACCATGACCTGGATGACCGAGAATCTCCATAGACATCTGTCCTCATTTAGGGTGATCCCATAGAGAAGGATGTCCCTGCCATTAGAAGCCAATTAAAGAAATGGTTTTTGAAATTCTTAGTGTAGGGAGAATTTTAATCCTCATTCTTTTAAAAAAAAAAAAGTCAGTTTTACCCTGAATGCAAACTGAAGTTCTCCAGAGCTGGAATTTCCAGATGAGTTGAAAAGAGAGTAGATGTTTCATAAAAGACAGTGGCATATAGTGGCAGATGACAGCATAGAGTAAAATAGCATTACTGTGACCTAGGAAAGGAGAGTTTTCACACCCTACATTCTTCCCATTTTTATCAGAGCTAAAATAAACTGGACAAAGCAGATTTGCGAAGCGTTTGACACCCCTAAGCGGTACTGACAGAAGATAATATTTGTAGCTCATATTTGTGGATGTGAGAGATGTGAGAATACTTGTGGATTCCTTGGGGCTCTTTGAGCTTTGGTTGTTTGCTCGCCGACCATTTCGTTACCCAACTACATATCCAGGACTCCAAAGCAAATTTGCTTAATCTGATATGCTCATTTAAAAAAAAACTGTGCATCATATAAAAGAGAGTTTTTCCCTAACTTAGATTTGGCATGGGGGGGGGGGGGAACCCTGTTTGCATTGTCTTTCTTTTAAAAAAAAAATAGAGGAACTTAAGCTCCTAGAAATTACGTTGTGTGTGTGTGTTTTTTAAAAAATAGTTGCATCACATCCTGAGTTCTATTGAAATAAGCTGTGCTATAAATGTGTTTACAATTGAGCAATAAAAAAAAAGAGGCTTGAACTCTGTACAAAATAGGCAGGCAGAGACAAGGTCTTTAGAAATGTTTTGAAGAGCTGGGTGTGCATTAAAAATACGAAGTGATTTGGAGGTGGTTTTCCACCATTAATGGCAGCCAGTGGTTGCTAGGCACAGAATGGCGGCCGGTGGTTGCTAGGCACAGCCTTCTCTGTTTCAGGGGCCAAATGGCCGAAATATGTTGAGCAATTTCCAGCTGCCGCAGCTCTCTCTCTTTACTTTCTTTTCTCTTCTGACAAGGTTCCTCTCGTCCCTGTTGTAATCTCATCGTATCGAGATTTCTACAGTAAGAAGGATAGGCGCTTCACCACAGGTGACTCCATGTCTGATTTCTTGTTCTTTTTTGAGGAGCAGAATAACTGGTACTTTCAATCAAGGCCCACCCCAAGGTTTTGCCCACAAGCCTAATGAGATCACTTTTTACAGTTTTATTAGTTTATAATCTAAAATACAAAAGCAAACAGTAAGAAAAAAAGGGAAGGGAAAAGTGAGGGAAAGAAAAGGGGGAAAAGAAAAAAACGTCCAACTCCCATTGGGGCAGTAGAATAAAATAGTAACATCAAACCTCAACTTTTTACTTTTATATAATAGTATAAATTGGCCATTTCTATAACAACAAATCTATCTAATCAGTAAAACCCAAAATCAAAGTTTCATTTTTTTCCACCTCAACCACAAAGTCCAGAAGCGGTTTCCGCTTTTAGAAATAAAAGTATTTGCATCTTTTTCTTTGATCAAAGCAGTCAATTTAGCCATCTCTGCTAACTCCATCAATTTTTGCAGCTATTTGTTCATTGTTGGGATCGAAATGTCCTTCCATTTTTATGCATAAAGCAATCTTGCACCGTTTGATGTAACATCAAAGTTCCAAAAACTTTTTCCAAGTCTTTTCCCATTAAACCTAAAAGAAAAGTTTCTGGTTTTATCTTTACATTCACTTTAAGAATTTCCTGTATTAGAATATGAATCCTTCTCCAATATTTCTTTGCTTGATAACATGTCCACCATAACTGGTGAAAGGTTCCTCCTTTACATTTGCATTTCCCATTTCTATTTCACAAACATGGAGACTACATGGGGAGTCCTTGATTTATGACCACAATTGAACCCAAAATTTCTCAAGAAAGAGAAGGCAACTCGGTGAAGTTTAAAAAAAAATATGAAGATTTATTTGGATTGTATGTGACTTTTCTAATACAGCTGCTTGTCAAGGATTCCAGGAAAAGTTTAAGAACAATCCAAATGTGACAGGTAAAAAACAAAGGTTAATACGGAAGCATCAGTTAACAATCCAGTCTGTCAAAAGAGATGTGCAATCCCAAAAGAGATAGGTGGTCCTCGGTTTACAACCACAATCGAGCTCAAAATTTCTGTTGCTAAGCGAGACCATTGTTAAGTGAATGTTGCGCCATTCTACAACCTTTCTGCCACAGTTGTTAAGTGAACCACTGTGGTTGTTAAATTAGTAACACGGTTGTTAGGTGAATCTAGCTTCTCCACTGACTTTGCTTGTCAGAAAGCTGCAAAAGGTGATCACATGACTCCAGGACACTGCAGCCGTCATAAATACGAGTCAGTTGTGCCAGGTGTCCAAATTTTGATCATGTGACCATGAGGACACTGCAGTGGTCACAAGTCGCTTTTTTTAGTGCCATTATAACCTCGAACGGTAATTAAATGGATGGTTGTAAGCCAAGGACTACATGAGAGGTGGGGAACTCTGGCTCCTTTATGACCTGTGAACTTTAACCCCCAGCATGGCCAGTTCAGGAATTCTGGGAATTGAAGTCCACAAGTCATAAAGGGGCCATCGTTCCCCACTCCTGGACTGCATGTACCTCTTTACAGATTTACTGAAGGGGAAAATGCCTTCGCTTGCACTCTGCTGGGGCCTTTTAGTTGTCTTGCTTGTTTCAAAAGTCGTGTCTTTCTCTCCAAACGCAGGGCGCTGCATTGTCCAGATCTTGTCCTCCGTGCCCACAAAGGGGCTGAGAGCCGACGACGTGCCGGCTCTGACGGATCGAGTGCGCCAAGCCATGTTGGTTGCTTTCGAGGGGCTTTCCGCGGATCTGGGTCCCCCGCAGTGACCTCCGCCACCGCTTCCCCCCAATGTCTGACCCAGGAGCAAGGCGGGCTGCGACTGGGAGCAGCTTGCACCCACAGGCAGCCAACCTGAAGATAACGGGACCAAGACAGAAGAGGGCAGCGCTTGGAGGGGAGGGAAAACGAATCGGAACCAGTTTTGGCAGAGGAGTGATGGGCACAGCACCTTGCGGCAAAGAAGGGGGGGCTTGAAACGGGTGGGGAGGGGGCTGGACTCAGCCACATGTGCTAGGAGATCTGGGAGCAGAGTGGATCCCAAGCCACCCTCGTTGCCCTCTTTACTTCTGGATCAGAGTTCTGACTCCCCCAGTAGATGGTACAGTCCGGTCCCTGCCTCCATCTCCTCCTTGCTCCCCCGTTTTGTTCATGTGGACTGTTCCATTTCAGTATCTTGGACTTGGCCAGTGCGTTTCCCATTCTGGGAAGTTTTTTCCAGGCTGAACCACGGACCCCACAGCAACTGAACCACCCCTGGGAACCTGCAGAGGGAGCCATGGGCCTGGTTTACCCTGGTTTGCTTCAAGGACCAAGGGGATCTTGGTGAACTTCAGACTCAGAGCACTGCCGTGGGGATGCCCCAGCTGCTTGCGGAGCCCCTGTGTGTGAGAACTCTGGACCCACCATCGCTTGGGGAAGGAGAAAGACAGAGGGAACCCACACCGGGGAGGAAATGCTGACCAATCCATCAGAACATGCAATAGCAAAGGGCCCAGGCTGTTCAGCCTGACTCGGCTCCAATCATGGACCGGACTGCTTCCTTCCAGGGAGGAGGCTTGGCAGAAAGGGGAAGGGAAGGAGAAAGGAAGGAGATCTGTCTCCCTCTGATGCTTCCACCCGACGGGTGAAAAGGGAGCCAAAGGGTTCTTCTATCAGAGATAAGCTGAGAGAGAGATCGCTTGGATTGCCTTCACTGGAGGTTGTTTGTGTCTTTGGGTGGAAGGTGGAGAAGGGAGGCAAAACGATGGATTTGGGTGGGGAAATGGGCAGAGAACAGGATTTGGGGGCTCCGGTTGCTTGTCGGCCTTGCCCGGAACGGCTTTAACTTTTCCCTCATTCAGTGTTGGGAGAATACCTTAAGCTCCAAGGCGAGGATGGGGGCCAGACCAGTTTGCCAGATGAAAAAATGCAGGGAGAGGGGCTGGCATTGGTCACCTCTCTCCAGCTGTGGATCAGGGAGCCCCAAAGGAAAAGAGGAGGAAGGGAGGGGAGAGGCAGGGCAGGGTGTGCAGGCAAGGGCTTTTCCCCAGGGCCAAATTAAGCATGAGGGTTGCAAAAAGCAGGAAGTTGTGTCCTCAGGCTGGGGCCTTTGAGCCAGGTGTTAACGGGACAGGAGATGAGGGGCATCCGATAAAGGAGGGAAGCGGGGCCATTGGCATCCGGAGAGCAACTGGGGGTGGGGAGTGTTTGTGGCAGGGTCTTTCGGGGAGAAGAGGAAACCAAGAAGAAGAGGAAACGGTTACCCCTTCCAGGACGAAAGTTTGAGAGGTACGGGGGTGCCGGTTCAGGGAGGGCTAGGCTGACTCCGTGGGGTGGCGAGCCTTGCGATTCCTTGAAATATTCTGTGTACTTCTCTTCTGCCTTTGGATTTTCCCTGAAGGTTTCTGCTATCTGCCCCTCCCCCTATTGGTGGGTGACCCAGGGGGCTTTCTTTCCTCTTTCCACACATTCCTTCTTTGGGGGGGGAGGGGAGAAAAGAGATTTTTCCCATCTGGGGAGGGATGAGTGAAGAGACGTTATCCAGTCTGTGTTCCCAAGACCTTCCTGCTTTTAATAAAAACCCTCGAAAATTCATTCCCCCACCCCCCCACACGTGGTGCCTTTTCCTCAGTCTTTGTAGCAGATTGGCAAGGTGTGTATGTGTGTTTGTGTGTGTGTCTGTCTGTCTCCACTATAACTTCTGCCCTTTCGGGAGCTTTTTAAAGCAACGTTTCTCAAACTTGGCAAATTGAAGTCCCATGACCTTCAACTCCCAGAATTCTCTAGCCAATATGGGGAATTCTGGGAGTTGAAGTCCACGTGACTTATATTTGCAATGAGTTTTCCCCCCCCTCACTGGCAAAAAAACCCCCAAAACCCTCCCTAGTGAACAATGGATTTGCTTAACAACTGCAGTGTTTGCTTTACGACTGCTGCCTTCGTTTAATTGTCAAAAACAAAGAGTCATGAAATTTGGGTGTGGTCCAGTAGTGGGTTGCCCCCGGTTCGCACTGGTTCTATAGAACTGGTAGTAAAACCGGCGGAAGGCTCCGCCCACCGACCCCGACATCACTAAAACGCTTCTGTGCATGCGCGTGAGTGAAGCGAGTGCGCGCGGCCCCGCTGCAAATCGGTAGTAAAGGTAGGTAGAACCCACCCCTGGTGTGGTCACATGATAACCTCCTTAATGACCATCACAACTTACGACCGTAATTGCAGGCTCAATTGCCGTTGTAAGTTGAGGACTTATTTATACAGTCAGACACAATATACCCTGTTTCCCTGAAAATAAGACATCCCCTGATAATAAGCCCGATAGGGCTTTTGAGTGCATGTGCTAAAATAAGCCTCCCCTGATAATAAGCCTTCCCCGAAAATATTTAAACACAGAGCTGGAAATCAGGTAAGACGGCAAGAGGAGCCCCATCTTGCTCCACGCACCCCAAAATAATAAGACCTCCCTGAAAATAAGGCCAAGCGCTTATTTCGGGGTTCAAAAAAAATAAGACAGTCTTATTTTTGGGGAAACGTGTTAGTACAATAAAATTAATTCAGTATTGGGAACAAATAGCGAACTACAATAAATCAAATGGTGTGCTTTTTCTTGGGGCGATCTAATGATATATAGCCACTTTTAGTTTGTCAGGCCGTAACTTGGAATATTCCAAATAATACTGTAATTATTTTGAAGAAAGGCATGATTTGGATTCCACAGCACTAACATGGCTCCTGAGATTTTTGTCCTAATTGAAGGTGATCTTTTTCAGCTAGATTCCTTTTGTTGAAGTAGAAAGAACTTCTGTTTTTTCCTGTTCAGGAGCAGCAGAGCCTGTGCTCAGACGATAGAACTAAATCTGTGACCTGAGGACCACTGACAATCCTTGAAGACATTGCAAATGGTCCTAGGGTGGGCCCCAAAATAAAAAGATGAAAGAAAGAGGCCAAAATCTCCCAAGACAGTCTTCTTATCCAAAAATGCGAGAAATTTTGGTTGGAACACTAAAACCTGTTGAGATTTGATGATCCTATAAGAATCAGTCACAACCTTTAGAAGAAAAAAAAAAGTAATTTTAGAGTCCTGTTTTGTTGGTGTTCCTCAGAAGCTAGCAATAGCACATAGGCTTACCATGTTTCCCCATAAATAAGACCCTGTCTTATATTTTTTTGAACCCCAAAATATGTGCTTGGCCTTTTGGGGAGGTCTTATTATTTTGGGGTGCGTGGAACAAGATGCAGTATTACGTGATTTCCAGTTCTGCATTTAAATATTTTTTGGGAGGGCTTATTTTCAGGGGGGAGGCTTATTTTAGCACGTGCTCAAAAGCCCGATTATTATCAGGGGATGTCTTATTATCTGGGAAACGTATATACCAATTCATAGTGCTTTACAGCCCTCATTAAGCAGTTTACAGAGTCAGCATATTGCTTCCAACAATCTGGGTCCTCATTTTATGAACCTCCGAAGGATGGAAGGCTGAGTCAATTTTGAGCAGGTTAGAATCGAACTCCTGGCAGTGGGCAGAGTTAGCCTGCCATACTGCACTCTTAACAACTGTACTACCTTGCTAATGTAAATATAGAAAATTTGGAAACTGCTTAAGTACATCATAACTCATATAGTTTACAAAGTACAGTGAAAAGGCCCAAATCAAGTAAATTTCATTAGATTTTAACATAACCAGCACATTATACACTTGATTTGACTTAACACATACCGTAACATAAATGCAGTTATTGTGGTTTGTTAACTGGTTTGTGGCTTAATGTATTGTGTGAATACAACCTCTATTAGGCTGTTTATGTGCTATATGTGACTTATGGTTGTGCTGGATGCAGCATTAGCCAAGACATCCTGTTGGATTATGGGAGTTGAAGTCTTACACACCAAAAAGGTATTTTGAGAATAACAATGTAGAAGAAAATTGCTTACAAGTTACTATCTAAAATGGGCTTTAATCTGGTGATTTAAATATTAGGACTACAACTTCAAGAATTCTTAACAAACCCAGCAATAACAGTTCTGTGGTTAATAATAACATGAATTATGCAATCTTATGTTGTTAAATCCAGCAAATTTATTTATTTACTTGTAATTCTAATTTCCATTTTTATGGCCATTCGCTCACACTTGGCTTTAGGCAGTTTAAAAGAGTTAAAAACAACATTAAAATAGAACAAAAACAGCCCACCAAGGTAACAAGCCCATCACAAAGGATGCTTGCCTTCATAATTCATAGGCATAAATTGACTTCTTGGTTTCTCTCTCTCTTTTTTAAATGATTTAGTAAGTCTAAAAAACTAGTAACAATGAATTCTAGTGTGACTGGGGAAAAAAGAGGAACGGGGAAACTTCCTGATTAAAATTCAGTGTTCAATAACCAAATAAAAATATGCATAAAAGATAGATCTTCGTAAGAATTGAGTCCTTTCAAACCCAAAGAAGGAATTATTTAGCCACACAAGCAATTCCTTTAGCATAATCTGCAGGCTGGCTGGGATTTTTGTGAACTGTAATCCCACCCATCCTTGTGGAAGGTACTGAGGAGGCCAGAGATCCGGATTGCCTCTTAGCACAACATAGCTAATTTATACAACTCACCAGAAAAGTACTTGAAAATGATGGGAAAGAGGCATGGATCCCTCACGTGAATAGCATGTACATTTCAGCAAGGAAATGCAATTGGGAGAAAATTAAAAGAGGTATCAAAACTCTGTTGGCTTAACCTGGATCCTTGAATCAATTTTGGAGCTCCATCAGAATCAAAGGGGTCAAACGTGCAGAATATACCAAATCGCCAATTCCCCATCCAATCCCAAGATTAAACTCACCAAAAGTCTCTAAAACAATGTTTCTCTCATACCACTAAAGCAGCTATAAAAAGGCTTAACTCTGGATGGATGCCATGGGCTGTCGGGAGTGAACATCTGGAAATTTCGGTGAGATTTGAAGGCAGCCTTTGTTCTTAATTAATCCAGCAGAGTTGCAACCTGCTGTGTTTTGTTTTCAATTAATAAGCCATGCCCGCTAGCATAAATAAAGGGAATTAATTTGAGCTTCTAACGACAAGACCCACCAGCACAGAATTAGGGAGGAAAAAGATAGGCTGATCCAGTTTGCGTCCCAAAATTCGGGCATCACCGGGTGAGGTCGTAGCCAAAGCCATTTTTATCGTTTTGACAGGCACCTGCGAGTAAGGACACCAAAGGAAAGAATGAGGCCTGGGAATTGAAAATACTAGCCTAGAAATGAAATCAACCCAAGTTTTATTTTGGAGAGGGATTTGATCTACGCCCAGGCTGCGCCTGCACCAGAACTAATATCAACACAGTACTGTAGTGAAATTATTCCAAATGTTTAATAAAGACACTCAAAAGCTATGGCTTCTGAAAGGCAAGTAATCTTTTGATGAACCAGAATGAATTTCACCAGGCAGGTGAAATGTTTGGAGTTGGAAGGGACTTTGTAGGTCATCTAGTCTAACCCCCAACCCAAGCAACCCATTTTTAACAGATGGCAGTCCAGTCTCTTTTTGAAAGCTTCCAGTGATGAAGCTCCCACAGCTTCTGAAGGAAAGCTGTTCCATTGGTTGGTTGGTGATTCTCACTGTCAGAAAATTTATCCTTGTTTCTTGGTTGAATCTCTCCTTGATCAGTTTCCATCTATTATTCCTTGTCTGGCCTTTGGGTAGTTTTGAAAATAGGTTGACCCCCTCCTCTCTGTGGCAGCCCCTCAAATATTGGAAGACTGCTATCATGTCTTCCCTGGTCCTCTTCACTAGACTAGCCGTGCCCAGTTCCTGCAACCATTCTTCATACGTTTTAGCCTCCAGGCCTCTAATCATCTTTGTTACTCTTCTTTGCACTTTTTTCTAGTGTCTCAACATCTTTTTAATAATGTGATGACCAAAACTGGATGCAGCATTCTAGGTGTGGTCTTACTAACCAAGGCTTTATAATGTGGTTTTAGTACCTCACGTGATCTTGATTGAATCCCTCTGTTAATGCAACTTAGGGTTGCACTGGCTATTTTGGCTGCCGCCACACACTACTGGCTCACATTTAATTGGTTGTCCACTAAGACTCCAAGATCCCTTTCACAATTTGTGCTATTAAGCCTGGTTTCACCCAGTCTATATGTGTACTTTTGGTTTTTCTTGCCTAAGAGTAGGACTTTACTTTTAGTCGTCTGCTGGTAATAGCAGTACAGATAGTCCTTGACTTGCAACAGTCTACCTCTCTTAGGATTGCTAGCCCTGTGACCAATGGTCAATACGATGAGAGTCATAGTCTAACATCAGCTGAATTATTGTTTCCCTACAAAGCCAAACCAGGAAGTAGGAAGGCCTGAACCTGTGACTGTGCGTTTTTAAGGCTTGGATTCTCTCACAAAATTGCCAAGCTACAAGACAACTAATTCAGGTTGTCCTCAACTTATGACCGCAATTGGGACTGGTTACAGGTAGTCCTCAGCTCGCGACAGCAATTGAGCCCAAAATTTATGTCGTTGGGTGCAAAATTTGTTATGCGAGTTTTGCTCCATTTTATGACTAACACACTTGTTGTGAATCACTGCAGTTGTTAAATTAGTTAGCAAGGCCGTTAAGTGAATAGAGTCCTCTCCCCCATTGAATTTGCTTGTCAGAAGGTCGCAAAAGGGGATCACATGACCCTGGGACAGCACAACCGTCATAAATGTGAGTCAATTGCCAAGGGTCTGAATTCTATTCACGTGACCATGGGGATGCTGCAATGGTCATAAGTGTGAAAAACGGTCCTAAGTCACTTTTTTCAGTGCTGTTGTAACTTTGAACGGTCACTAAACGAACTTTTGTAAGTCGAGGTCTACCTGTACTGCCATCGCTAAGCGAGGTAGTCATTAAGTGTCAATTTATAATTTTATGACCTATTGTGCTACACTCATTAAGCAAGTCACTGCGATCATTAGGTTAATCTGTTTTTTCCCCTTTACTTTGCTTGTCAGAAACCACCCAGAGACATCACAAATGACAATCGCATGACCCCAATATGGTGCAACCATCATTAATACATTCTGGTTGCCAAGCGTCCCTAATTTTACTGTAGTCAGGTAGCCAGGGGGTCACTGCAATAGTCCTAAAATCCAAAGCCTGGTGGTCACTTTTTTTCAGTGCCGTCGTAACTTTGAACGGTCACTGAAAGAACCGTTTGTCAAGTCAAGGACTGTCTGATTATTTGTGGGTAGGACTTTCCGATACTCACAATCTCCCAGTTTCTCTTCAAGAAAAAGGAGCTGCTCGCTGAGCGATTCCACGTGGTCCAAGTAACGAAGGCGATTCCACATCTCCTTGATCTGGGTGGGCTCCACGGAGGTTGGCAAGATAGAGATGGCTTGCTCCAAGCGCTGAGGAAAAGGGAAGGACCCAAATTGTTTATTTAAGAATCTTCTTTGCGTTCTGAACATGGCGCTTCCCACTTTGTCTCCTTTCCCCGTGGAGAAACCCTGAATCCAGGGGTGAAATCCAGCAGGTTCTGACAGGTTCTGGAGAACCGGTAGTGGAAATTTTGAGCAGTTCGGAGAACTGGCAAATACCACCTCTGGCTGGCCCCAGAGTGGGGTGGGAATGGGGATTTTGCAATATCCTTCCCCCAAGAGTGGGGAGGGAATGGGGATTTTGCAATATCCCACCAAGCCAATGCCTTGGTAGTACAGGGGTTTAAGGCACCCTGTTATTAAGCTGGTTATTAAGACCAGCTGCCTGCAATTACTACAGGATTCGAATCTCGCCAAGGCTCAAGGTTGACTCAGCCTTCCATCCTTTCTAAGGTAGGTAAATTGAGGACCCAGTTGTGGGGGCAATAAACTGACTTTGTATAAATATACAAAAGGATGAAGGCTATTGCTGAGCACATTGTAAGCCGCCCTGAGTCTTCGGAGAAGGGCGGCATATAAATCAAATTAAATAAATAAATAAATAAATAAAAATGCCACGCCCACAGAACCGGTTGTAAAAAAAAATTGGATTTCACTGCTGCCTGAATCCCTCCCATTTTAAAACCCATTTTAACCCTCCCTCCCCAAAATAAAATAAACCAAGCTAGATCCCTGTTTGCCTGGGGAGACTGGATTCCTGTCATTTAATTGAGAACCCTTTTGAGTGTTTGCACATATTTATCTATCGTTGGAAGAAATATCCATCTTGTTCAGTTCCAAGCCGGGAGAAAAGCACTGGAGACAAAATGGAGGCTGATTAGAAAGGGGGTTTAATGGTGAAGCAGAACCACCAAGCAGATGATTCTGGGTAGCTGACCACATGGAATTGATAGTGGGGGGGTATTTATACCTTCTCTTGAGCTTTGCACTTGAACTTCCTGTTCCTGTGTAAGAACAAGTATTCTATTGGCTGTTGTCAGACTCCCATGAGGCCATGTACAAATCCTAGGACCGTGATGGCGAACCTAAGGAACGTGTGCCAGAGGTGGCACGCAGAGCCCTCTGTGGGGCACACATGCCATTGCCATCTGCTCTTCGGGGTTCCACAAAGCAAAGACCAGCTGTCCGACGTGCATGTGACCACCAGAACCGGTAGAGCAGCTGGCCGCCATGCGCAACAGCGTACTGGCCAGCTGCTCCCTTTTGGGTCCCGGCACTCCAGCATGTGCACGCGCATGACTTGGGGACTGCAACTCCCATAATTCCTGAGATAAAGAGATAACTAGCTCTATTCCCTGCAGCAAGATTTGAACAAAGGTAGGATTAGCCCTCAGCCATAATAGGAATTGCCCAACAAGCCCCTTCATTGCATCAGAAGACCAAACTTCAATCAAACTTAGCTCAGACAAATTCCTAGGACAGTGATGGCTAACCTTTTTGGCACTGAATGCCAAAAATGGAGTGCGCGTGCACATGCTGGAGTGCCAGGACCCAAAAGAGAGCAGTGCCCCAGGTCTAGAACCTGCATCTTCCTACTTCTAGCCCCAACCCCTTCACTACTACATCACTATAGCAACTTAGAACTAAGGAGAAATTTCCTGAGAGTTAGAACAATTAATGAGTGGAACAACTTGCCTCCAAAAGATGCGAATGCTCCAACACCGGACGTTTTTAAGATGTTGGATAGCCATTTGTCTGAAGTGGTGTAGGGTTTCCTGCCTAAGCAGGGGGTTGGACTAGAAGACCTCCAAGGTCCCTTCCAACTCTGTTATTCTATTCTATTCTATTCTATTCTATTCTATTCTATTCTATTCTATTCTATTCTATTCTACTTCACCATAGTGAAAGAGAAATGGGAGGACTGCTGCAAAGTCCCTCAGAGTCATTTTGGATAGGGAGATGGATGGCATATAAATGTAACAAATAAAATAATAAATAACGAGAGACTGGAACCTTGCTTCTAGAGTGGTATCTTTCAAGAGAGCAGAGCCTCA